GGACCTTGGGGTGAGGGGACAGGGATCCCAGGGTGGCACAGGGACCCCGGGGTCAGGGGGACAGGGACCCCAACGTCAGGGCAGGTACCCCGGGGTGAGGGGACCCTCGGGGGCAGCAGGGCTGGCAGCTCCCTGTCCTCCCCTCCAGGATCAGGAGGTTTCGGGGCCGGTCGGGTGCCGAGGACACTTTGGAGCTGAGGAGCAAACAGGAGCCAGCACAGGTAGGGAAGGGACCTCGGAGGGGCCAGCTCTGAGGACCCCCCACCCTGAGCTCCTGAGGGGCCCCTGGAGGGGTCCCCGGTGTGGGGAAGGGGATGTGGGTCTGGGACCTGACCCAGCCGAGCTGCTCCGGGTGCCACCACAGCCTTGGCTGTCACTGCCCGAGCCAGGGAAGGGGCAGGATCCAAAATACCCCTCCCAGGCTCATCCCAGAGGGGCTCCACAGCACAGACACCCTCTGGGGGTGCTCTGGGTGCTCCCCCGGCCCTGCCATGGATGGGGTGTCCCAGCCAGTCCCAACCTTTCCCAGGTGGATGGAGCATCTTAACCTGGTGGCCCTTGGACCCGGGAGCATCTGTGGTGGCTGGTGCTGGAATTCCACGGTCCTGGCCTGGCTGGATCCAGGTAGCCCCCCCCTGGGGACCCCCAGCCCTATTCCAGCCCCTGCCAGCCCCATTCCAGCCCCTGGATGTTGTTCCCCCCCAGTGGACGTTGTTCTCACGTGGGGCACGGTTTGGGCTCACCACGTCACGTGCCAGGCCGTGCCAGCTGTGACTGCTCAGAGCTGTGAAATCCTGGAAAGATAATAAAACCAGATCTCCCCAGAGCCTGGGGACACCCTTTCCACGGTCACTGTCCTGTCCTGTCCCCACGGCAAAGCCACCCCCCGGGGTGCTGCCCACCCGGGGCGGGTGGGACACGGGGGACGTGCTGCTCCGAGGCAGCCCCGGGGCCACAGCACCCCTTTCCCTGGCGTCCCTCCTGGGGGAGAGGAGGGCAGAGGTGTCCCCAGGCCACACGTGTCCCCTCGGTGCCCGGGAAGGGGCGGGGGACAGGAGGGGTCGGTCCTGTCAGCCCCGCGCTGCCCCAGGGGAGCTGAGGGGGGGGCTCCCCTTGCGGGATCGCAGCCCCTCGGGGCAGGTGCTGGGCCTTGTCCCCTCCTGGCCCGTGGCCATTAGAGGTCACTCTGCAGCCACCTCAGCGCCGGGCACGGCCTCGGACGCGGGTCTGCAGCCGGACGGGGCTTCCCAGTGTGGAGCTGGAGCTTCCCGAGCACGGCTGGGGGGGCTCAGGGCTGAGGGGGGCCGGGGCTGAGGGGCTTGATGCTCACGTGGATGCTTAATCCCCTCTTATCCACCTGCTCTGACGCTCCCGTTTGTGTACCAAAGCAGGATGCTGCTGTTCCCGTGGGATGTCCCCATCCCTGTCACCATCCTTGCCGCCATTCCTGCCCCCGTCCCCATTTTCTGTCCTCATCCCCGTCCCCATCCCACGTCCCCATTGCCACTCCTATCCCTGTCCCCATCCCTGTCCACGTCCCCATCTCCATTCCCG